CCGCAAGAGACACGCGCGCAGGCGTTCAACCTGGGCGATTTCGTGCAGTCAACTATACCAGTTCTGATACTAATAACAAGAAGAATCTTGTTTTGAACGGTTTTATAGATGGCTGATTTTGTGCCTCTTTTAAAAGTCTTCTTTCAAAAGAAGAATCGTTCATAAATATTGAGACCATCTAGACGCAATTTTTTATTAATTATGTGTATTTGATTTCTGTGAATTTTTCATTTTGAATTCCGTGTCTCAATATAAGCAAAAAGATCTTGCTATTTTGCTTTTTGCTTAGATGCTATAGGGGAAAATGATATTTTCTGGTCAAATACAAGGATTGAGATTTTTCTCGAGATAAAATCAATATCACTCTTCAAATACATTTTTTCGATTGTAAACGTAACTTGTTGGTATTTGAGAAAATTAGGGTACATACTTCTACAGTTTGTTACGCTACGATAGGTTTTACCTAGAAGTTACTGATATACATGCCATTAGTCGCCGCGCTCTAGGCCCACATATTACGTTGCGAATAACTCGACGATAGTACTTCCAATCATTTCCAGATCTTGGTGGGTGACATTTATTACTAAGCTCGTAAGGATCACTTTTGACAAGAGTCATGGTAAAGCAAATTTTCTAAGCAATGGTGGAGAAACTTAAGAATGCAGATGAAAAGGTAGTATAACTTATTGAATAACGAACCCGATGTTCCATTGTACCAGCATATGTCCTTACGTTTCCTAAAGCCAATTTGATGATAAGGTAGATCCAAATCTATTTCATGCCAGAAGTTGAAGACTAGATCATCAGCGCTGACAAAGTATCCTCAAAATTCTTGTCAGTCAATGAGGCCACTGTCGCCCACAAACCTCTAACATTACGCAATCTCATCTCTGCTACCTTCGTTAGGCAAAAGTACAGATATACACCACGCACTAATTCTTCTGGATGCACGTTGACGAAGCTAAATGCTTCCTTAGTTGGTGGATAACCTCAAACTAATGTACTTCCATGGCTCATCTCTTCATTGGTGATCACCTTTTTCGTCCAATTCTTTTCTGTCAAATGTTCCACAATATATTGTCAAACCAAAATAAGGCTCATGGAGTCTTTGCAAAAGTCCAAGACTTCGCTGCCACGGGTAGTTGTTAATAATTACCAAGACCTAAAAGATGCATTTATTAATAACAGAGGAACATCCGAAACTGAGCTTTCTTCTTAAGCTGACACCGAACAGAGAGATGTAAATCTATTGTTCCCTCTCAGAACCACTCTGAGGAAACTGTGGAAATTGTGGATACTGTGGAAACTCAAACCGTGTATTGAAACGTTTACTACAGATACGCAGTATCGAGGAATTGAGGTTGCATTCTCTTTGAGGAAGTCTCTTTCAAGTCAAGTGATCTTGCTGCCGATGTTATTTCTTGATTTTATTTTGCAATCCTTGACATTTGCTGACCGATATAGATTTATTT